CGATCGTGCGTGTCCCTGCCATGCGTGTGTGAGCGTGTGCGAGCGCGTGTGCGTGTCCCTGCCCGTGCGTGAGCGTGTGCGAGCGTGCGTGTCCCTGCCATGCGTGTGTGAGCGTGTGCGAGCGCGTGTGCGTGTCCCTGCCCGTGTGTGAGCGTGTGCGAGCGTGCGTGTCCCTGCCCGTGCGTGTGCGAGCGCACGTGTGTGTCTCTGCCCATGTGTGTGTGAGCGTGTGCGAGCGCGCATGCGTGTCCCTGCCCGTGTGTGTGCGAGCACGCGTGCGTGTCCCTGCCTGTGCGTGTGTGAGTGTGTGCGAGCGCGCATGCGTGTCCCTGCCTGTGCGTGCATGAGCGTGTGCGAGCGTTCATGTCCCTGCCCGTGCGTTCGTGAGTGTGTGCGAGCGCGCGTGCGTGTCCCTGCCTGTGTGCGAGAGCGCATGCGTGTCCCTGCCCATGCGTGTGTGAGCATGTGCAAGCGCACGTGCGTGTCCCTGCCCATGTGTGTGCAGGCACATGGGGCCAAGAGCTGCTCCTGCCTCCACTTCATGCCCACGTGTGAACAGTCCCCAGACTTCTTGAAAGCCTGCTGGCCTCGTGGAATTAAGTACCTAAAACTTGAGGTCGCAAAGACGATTTTGTTCGACGTTAGGAGGGCAGCGCCCGAGTTGTACAAAGTCGTGGCAGGTCAACCTTGCGTTATTATTAAAAGTTTTATAAGCGCCTTTGAGTGGAGGAAAGGTCCATTCTTCCTGTGAGGCTCTCCGCCCAGCAGACTCCCTCGGCGTCTTGTTCTCGTCCTGTGTGTGGAGCTCTTTGAGTCTTTAAAGGCATCCCTGGGCGCTGGGACGGCGACTTCTTCCCCAGGGCTGGCGCGTCCACTGCTTGCTCCAAGCCCCTCGTGGGCTGCTCCTGTTTCCTTTTTTCAAGGCTGATTGAGTTGGGAGAGGGAGAGCGCAAGCAGGGACAAAGGGGGAGAGAATCTAGAGCAGACTCCCCACTGAGCGTGGAGCCCGACGTGGGGCTCGATCCCACGACCCTGAGATCGGGACCTGAACTGAAATCCAGAGTCGGACGCTCACCCGACTGGCCCCCGGCCGCCCCTGGCTGCTTCTGTTTCTGATACGGATCCAGGCCCCTGGTTCCGGGGTCTGCTCGGGGGTGTGCTGGCCTTGATCAGGCCCAGAGGGGTGCCGGAAGGCAGGTGCTCCAGGGGCCAAAGGCACGGCAGGCTTTGGCTGACCTCTGGGCACGGTTGTCCTTCCTGGTGGCCAGATGTCTGCCAGGTTCTGGCCCTGAGCAAGCAAGACCTGGGGGAGGGACACGGGCCAACAGGAGGGAACCCGGGCCGGTGGGCCGGGGTCCACCTGTGTCCGCAGGATGGCACTGGGGGTGGAGGGAAGACAGACCTGGAGGGTAGAGGTGCGCCGTGCATCCTCTCCCCGGGTCCGAGGTCCCAGGGAACTGTGATCCCACCCAGGTCCCGTCTGGGGCCGGCCCTGCGGGGAGCCGTAAGTCAGCGTGTTCCTCAGACCCTGCCTTGCTGTTGCAGACGGCCAACGGAAACGTGGAGGCCAAGGTGGTGTGCTTCTACCGCAGGAGGGACATCTCCAGCACCCTCATCGCCCTGGCCGACAAGCACGCCAGTGAGTCTTGGCCTTTCCCGGGGCGGGGGGGGCGGCCCACCCTGCGGCCCCCACCTGCCCTGCGCCCTCCCCAGGGTCGGCCCCCACCTGCCCTGCTGCGTGCTGGCCGTAGGCTGTGGACACCCAGCCCGGTGTCATTGCCCTGGGGCTTCTCCCTTGCAGGATTGATTTTGGGGAGCACTCCCTGGGTGTTGCGGGGGTGGGGGGCCTCTGCTGCTCCTGTTGACCTCACCGAAAGCTACTGCTCTTTGTGGCAGTGCGTTCAGAAACAAAGTTCGTCATCTGTCTGCAGTTTGAACCTGAGTGTCAGAAGCCCAGACGTGCAGGGACTCCCAGCAGCTTAGTGCGAGCGCCGGGATCCCCCTCCCAGTCGGGCCAGCGTTCCCGCTCTCAGGCGGCCGCAGTCTGGGGACTGGCCTGTACCTGCTTCCACGCCCTGGGGTCCCACGCAGCCCCTCCAGCCAGCAGTGACGGGGCGGGGGGAGTTCCAGAGTCCCCGTCCTCGGGGTGGGATCTGCCTGAGCCTGGGTGGGGGTTCTGGCCTCTGTGGGGGGACGGCTCCCAGCAGGCGTGGAATGTGCCTGCCCCTGGTCCCCCAGGTGCTTGTCTACAGGGCCGTCCACTCTGGGGACAGGTACTGCTCTCATGAGTTCATCAGGTGTGTCTGGGCGGTTGCGGGCCCCACCTGGTCCTCTGGGCCCCAGGTCAAGGCAGGACTCAAGCCTGTGCCCCAGCATGCTGGTGTGAGGGACTGGACGCCCAGGCCATACCGGCCTCCTCCCTGGGTCCTGGAGGGGTTCGAGGCGGTCGGTCCAGGACTGGGTCTCCCGGGGCCTCAGGGATGAGGGGGCGAAGCACTGCGGTGCATTTAGGGCCCTCGCCAGGATCAGCACAGCTCAACTGGGCCCCAGGACAGGCCCCGCACCACACGGGGTGGATAGCAGAGCTGGTGCTTGGCTGGCCGGGCCTGGCCTCCCAGATGATACCGCTGGGGGGTGTCTGTGCTCATGGGGGCCGCGTGGGTCTGGGCCTTGGTGCATCTTGTGTCCTCCTCTGGTTTCCTTGGCCACTGTGCGCTTGTGATGCAGGTGGCTCTGGGTCTAGTCGTAGATGTTGAAGCTGCCCCCCGGGGGGAAGCATGAGAGGTGGGACACGGGGGTCACTGTTGACTTGGGGTGTTGGTGCTTGAGGATCTCCCCACCCATGTCCACTGCCTGGCCCAGAGTGTCGCGGTCCTCACCACCGGGCCGTCCTGCTGTGGGGCACCGTGGAGGTCAGCTCCAGGAGGGCGCTGGACTAGCGTTATGTGAAGGGAGCTGGTGGGAGGCAGTGTTGCCGGAAGGACCAGGCAGGAGCCGATGGGATGGGCGGTGGCCCCAAGGCCCCCCAGAGTGCTGCAGTGGGGTGTGTGACGGGGTCCATCTCAGGGCAGGACCCTGCCTGTGCTTTCCTGGAGCCCCCGTGCTCTGTGAGGGTTTCTCTGTCTCGTAGTGGTTTTCCCAGAAACCACGTTCCGTCGGCCATCTCAGCCAGTGCAGCCCGGGTGAGACGGGTCTGCCCTTTTGCCCAGGCTCCAGCCCAGCGTCAGGGGCGGGTGTGAGGACGCTCTGGGGCGCCTTCTTCTGGCCAGGGACCCAGGGAGCCCACTGCTCAGAGAGGCTTCTGGCCCAAATAGCCCATCAGCTGACGGGGTTTCTTCTGGGCCTGGGGGCCCGGGAGACAGAAGCCCCTGCCCTCCACTGCCAGGTCTCCAGCCCCAGCATAGGCCAGATGCTCCCGGGCCACATGGGTGACCTGCAGCGGTGAAGCCTTCCTGGGATCCTCCAGCCACTCTGCTCAGCCCTGACCCCTTGTGGCCACGGCCCCCTGCCCTGCCCTTGCACACACGCGTGCACACAGAGCTGTCCCGAGAACAGGACCCTCTGGCCCTGGGAGAGTGGCAGGCACAGCTGACAGGCCCTCCTAGACGCCCCCAGGGCAAGCTGCGGGGGGCTCTGGGGTGTGTGTCAGAGCTAGGTGGGGTGGGAGCACAGAGCCCCCCACTCGGGGCCCAGGATCAGGACACACTGGATCCCAGAGGCAGGTTTTCTGTGCCGCCCGCAACGTGACTCCCTGGGTTCCTGGAGGTCGAGCACCACACACACTGCAGGGTCTACCGGGCCTGAAGGAAGGCTTGGAGCGCTGGGGTGGGGGGCTCTCTCCCCCCGTCTCCTGGGGGTGCTGACGTGACCCAAGCCCTGCCCACTCCTGGGGCTCCTCCTCACCCCTGCTGATGGCGGCTCTGATGGGTGGGGTCTCGGAGCCACAGTGGGCTTGTGTCAGGCTGGGGAGGGGCCCAGGATGACGGTCTCTGGCCCGTGCCTAGCCCCTACCCGGGCCCGTCGTGCCGTCCCAGGACGGGCGTGAGCACCAGGTGGGCTGGCTGGTGGGTGTCTGGACATGGTGGTGTCCCCAGGCTGGGGGTGCAGGGTGCTTGTGGGGTCTGTGGGAGTGGGCAGGGAGGTGCAAGGCCAGCAGTGTGGACACTCGGGCTCCAGTGGCCCACCCGTGTCTGAGCCCCGGGCGCCTGGGAACTCCCTCAGTCGCCACAGGGGGGCGGCAGAGGGCCACGTGCGGGCTGAGGGCCCCGGGATAGAGACCCAGGGTTGCCCAGATGCTGCCCAGGTGCCGCAGCCCCGTGGGGTGGCCGACCTCGGCGTGCCCCTGCCCTGGCATGGCCCGCCACGGCCCCCGCACGGCCCCGGACCTCCACTGTGCCTCCGGGGGCACCGCACCCCGACACGCACGCGTCCTGGCTGCTCCCTGTGGGCATCCTTGTCCCAGCCCTGGAGGTGTGGCCAAGGCCCCGGGTCGGCGCGCTTGGGGTGGTGGACGCACTGCTGACCCGACCTGGGCCCGCCCCTCGGACCCCGTGTCCACCCCACCCTCCCTGCTTCCTCTCCTCGGCCCGCAGGCGGCCAGGTGGGCGGGCGGGTGGTGCTGTTGCTAACCCGCAGTCCGGGCGCTGTCTGTCTGTTGTCTAGCCCTGTCAGTCTGCTACAAGACCGGACCGGGGGCCGACAACGGTGAGGAAGGTGAGCCGCTCCCGCGGGGGGTCCTCACGCGCCAGCTGGGCGGGCGGCGGCAGCTGACCCGCCCGCCCTGTGGCTGCTGCTCTGTCCATCTGTGTGGTGCGGGGGGAGTGGGTAGGCGGGCAGGGCTCACAGGAACCCCCCGCCCGTCAGGAGAGATGGAGGAGGAGATGGAGAACCCCGAGATGGTGGACCTGCCCGAGAAGCTGAAGCACCAGCTGCGGCATCGGGAGCTGTTCCTGTCCCGGCAGTTGGAGTCGCTGCCCGCCACTCACATCAGGTACCCAGCGGCCCGGAGGGTGCCTGGGGACCGCCCTGCTTCGCTGACGGTGCGCCCTCCTCTTGCAGAGGGAAGTGCAGTGTCACCCTGCTCAACGAGACGGAGTCCCTCAAGTCCTACCTGGAGCGGGAGGTGAGGCCAGCCGCAGAGGCCTGGGGCCGTCCCCCACCCCCGCCTCCGTCCCTTGGGGCCCAGTCCCTCCCGGCTCGCAGCCACCCTGGGGTTAGGCGCTGGGTGCTTTGCTTGGCTTCCTGGGGTCGCGTCTGCATCCCTGGGGTACCAGCAGGGGCACGGCCTGGAGGGATCGTACAGGGACCCGCGCTGGCCGCCGCCTCGAACCCTCACTGTGTTCATCCAGAGCCGTGTTGGCCAGGCAACGGGAAGCGTTTCTACTTCTGCAAAACCAGAAACATCCACGTTGTCAGGGGTTTGGGACCGTGGAACCAGCCTTCTTGTTCCACAGACGAGTGGGGACCTCATGCATTTGTAGGATGCTACCCACCGAGGCCACCCCCAGGGTGACGGCCAAAAATGTCTGCAAACAATGCATGTGTCCCTGGGGAGCAGCATGGCCCGGGCAGAGGCTGCACTGAGGTGGCGGAGAAACGGCCCGAGGGGGCCAGATGGGGTCTGGAGGGGCGGGGGCACGCTAGCGACGAGAGGGACAGGTGGGGGGCGGGTGGCCCGAGCTGGCACCTGTGTTCACAGCCAAGACCCCCTCCCACCGTGCAGAGCCTGGTGCATTGCAGGGGGACGGTGCGGCCGTGCGCAGGCCTGACTCAGAGTCGGGAGGCCGGGAAGCCGCCAGGAGGGGACAGGCCCACAGTCAGTCCCCAGAGCAGGCAGGGAGACGTTTGGAGGAGGCGCTGGACGCCGGGGGGCGGGAGGGAGCACGGGGGGGTGCTGCCTGCCTTTCCGAGGGTCCCCGTGGTGGGGGGCCTCACGGGACACGGCGCAGAGACTGAGCACGATGGCCCGCTGCGACACGGAGCGGGTTAACGGCGGCACGCGTGTGTCCCGAGGGTGAGGCCTGGCTCTTCCTGCCGGTGTCCACTCACCTGCTTAGCAAGCACATCGTTGTCACAAGTGGGAAAACAGGCCGCTGAGCCGTGGCGAAGATGCTGTGAATCGTGTCCCCGCCCGGCCTCCAGGGGGCCGAGGACACGGTCACGGCAACATCCAGGGGTGAGCGGGAGGCCCAGGCGCCCTAACCCCAAATGAGCGCCGGCCAGGCCTCCGCTCGCGGCCTAGGTCAGCAAGCTTGCTGTTGGGAAACAAGCCAGCCAGCGCGACGCAGTTTCTGAGAAACACGGCTGAACGTCAGGAGACAAGCAGCTGGGGTCAGAAGGGCCGGCAGCCCGGGCGCCTGGTCCAGAACATTCTGCGGCCCGCGTGCGCGTGTCCTGGGGCGGCCGCACGTGAGCAGCGCTGTGGCATTTGCGTTGCCAACTGGACGCTCTCCGGGTCATCAGTCCCACGGTCCGTGCCCGGGGCGGTCTCCAGGCGAGGCCTCGGGGCGCCCTGCTGACGTGGTCTCGTGTGCTGTCTTTCAGGATTTCTTCTTCTATTCTTTAGTCTACGACCCCCAGCAGAAGACCCTGCTGGCCGATAAGGGAGAGATCCGCGTGGGAAACCGGTACCAGGCGGACATCACTGACCTGCTGAAGGAAGGTAGGGCGCAGGGCGGTGGCCGGCAAGCAGGGCCAGCGGGGTGAGGTTCCTTCGGGCGGCTCTCTTAAGCTTTGTCTCTGAAAAACTTCCTTGAATGAATCTTCTGGTCTCGCGACTTCTGCCGCTGGGCAGTGCCGTCAGCGACCCAGCACAGCCCCCGGTGAGCGGAGGGTCCGCGCGTCCTGCGTCGGCGGCAGGTAGAGGTGGGGCCGTGCGTGGCTGGTGGGCGGGACGCGGCTGTCAGCGGCTGGGTCCCTGAGAAGCGAGAGGGCGCGGGGGTGCTGGGCTTGGAGCGTCGCGGCCGGTGTTGCCCGTGGCCGTCTGTCTGCTGGGGAGCTGCCCCGCCGGGCTCCCGGCCCCAGCCCGGCCCCCGTCGCCCCCCCGCCCCTGCTTGTCTCTCTGCTGAACGGTCGTCAGCCGTGACGTAGGACCCGCGGCTAACCACGCGGCCAGTCGGCCGTGATGATCTTTTTGGGGTTCTCATCACTTGGGCTGCTCCCACGGAGCCGGCCCAGCCCCCATCCGCGTTCTCTGCTGCTCTCAGCACCCCCAGTGTTGCACCCCTGCTCCAGGCCCAGCCAGGGTCTCTGGGCCCCGTGGCCGGCCCCCTGCGCTGTCGGGCCGGCCAGACGAGGTCCCGGGGCTCCTTTCCGACGTCTGCCGACCTCTGCTTTTCTCTGCGGACACGTTCTGAGTGTGGACGGTCCCTTCCTGTGGCCTCCCGTCTCCTCCACGCACGTGGTGTCGCATTTCTCTGAGGCTGGTCTAGTTTTTTGAAAGCGTCTGGTGTCGGCTTACGCGTGTTACTTCCTTTTACGCTGTGTGCCCCCCCACGTACGTACCCACGTGACCCCACGTGTACACTTGCGTGCTCGCACACCAGCTTTTTCTCCTTGTGGTTGGTTTTTTGTCGGGCGGGGGGGTCCTGCCAATTGGAGGTCGGCGGGGGAAGGAAGGAGCCAGGAAGCACACAGGTTCCCCCTGTCCTTCCCTGTCTGGCTGAGGGTGACAGATCTGGTGACAGCAGAGTGGCTTGAAGGTCAGAGGCCCTCGGTTTTCTGGGCAGGGACCTGGGTGCTGGGCCGTGAGGGCCGCCTCGGCGGTGCGGGGCCCAGGCCTGCGGCGAGTGAGCTCCTGGGTGCTGCAGCGAGGGGGTCTCCACACCCCCTGGAGCCCAGGACCCTCCCAGGGAATGAAATTGCTGAGAGGCTTAGCTTGGGGTGGCCCCCGGACTCTCGAGGCCGGGAGGCATTGGACCCCAGGTGGCGGGTCTCAGCGCACAGTCCCCCGGGAAGGACAGCACTACGACACCGGGAACACCCCACTCACACTCAACCTGCACCTCGTGCGGCCCCCGAAACCCCAGCCTCCATCTGGGCCAACCGGGAGGGACGTCTGGATCCTCGGCCCCGGATCCGTCACGCACCCCTGCGGTGGGGGGCTTCGCGCCGTGACCCCAGATGGGCCCGCAAGGCCTGACCTTCCCTGAGGCGAGGGAGTGCGTATTTCCCCAGCCGCTCGGAGCCCGGCTCGAGCCCCCTGCTCACGCAGGCTCCGCGGTGGGCTGGCTGGGTGCTGACGCGGGTGGGACACGGCCGCGAGCGTCCCTGCCCTCAGCCTGGAGTTTGCTGCCCCCGCCAGCAAGGGGCGCTGGGTGGGTCGCCGGCATGTGCACAGCCTGCGAGCCTGGGCTGGTTGTGGCTGCGGCCCAGGGAGCTGCCCGGGGACGGTTGTGGGGTGTCTGCTCGCGTGGGGCTGGCCGCGCGGGGGCGCGAACTCTCCCCGGCGTCTTCACCGTCTCTGCTGTTCTCTGCCAGTGAGCTCCCGTCCTCAGACGCCGTCGTGCCTGCCGGATGGTGGGGCTCTGCCCCGACCGCATCTGCAGGGTGAAGGGGCGGGGGGCCCTCCCGGAAAGCGGTACACGGAAACACGGCCTGTCTGGCACTGTGAGGGGCCCTTGGGTGGCTGACGCCCGCGCCGGACGTGGCCACGTCGGTGTCCCGTGTCCCGGTCACTGGGTGCGCTGTCTCCGGATCGGGAGCTTGATCAGCAAAGCCAAAGCGAGCCTCCTCTGCTCCTGTGGTCACGCAGCACACGCTGTGCGGGGCTCACCCGGCCCCACCCTGTCCTCAGGCGGGCTGGCGGGGCAGCCGCAGGGCGCCGTGTTTGCCGAGGAGAAAATGCGCTGCGTGCCGAGCAGGCCTGGAAGTGTGTGTGCACACCAACAGCAGCCTCACCCCCGGGCTCGCCAGGCAGGCGGATGGGCCCGTCCCCCAGGGCCCCGGCCGCGGGCAGAGCCTCGGCTCTCCAAGGCCTTGCTGCAAGCCGCGGGGGTCTTCGGGTCTTGTTGGCGTCACTGTTCTGTTGCTTGCAGGTGAGGAGGACGGCCGAGACCAGTCCAGACTGGAGACCAAGGTGTGGGAGGCACACAACCCGCTCATAGACAAGCAGATCGACCAGTTCCTGGTGGTGGCCCGGTGAGTTCTGGGCATCAGGGTACTGCCCGGACCCCAGGCCTGGGCGCTAAACGGCTGCCCTGCCCTGCCCGTCCCTGGACATGGACACTGCTCGTGGGGCCTGGGGGCAGCTCCAGCTTTGAGAGGTGGGGCCTGTGCGCCTCCCCGCGTCCCTCCGGGGCCGCGGCCTGCAGAGATGAGCAGCCGGGCACAGATGGGGCTGCTACCGGGACCTCGGGACAGGGCAGAGATGCGTGTCCATCTCCGGATGAGCTGTGGGCCGTTGCAGACTCGGGGGGGCGGGGCGTAGCTGAGGAAGAAGGACCTGGGGCCTTAGGGCCATGAGGGAGGCAGGGCTCCAAGGAGGACGCCGCCCATGGAGCCCTGGGGCAGGGCCAGCGGGAGGGGAGTCCCTGTGAGGGTGCAGGGGGCTTCCCTGCCTCTCAGCTGGACCCTGAGCCTTCACTACGGAGGGGGCGCCCTGCCAGGGGCTCGGGAAGCTGAGCCGCGGGCGGTGGCTGCCACGCTCTGTCCCTGGGGCCTCCCGGCCCGCCGTGTCCTGCGGTCTTGGTGTGCTGTGGGCTGGGCTGGGGCGCCTCTGTGCGTCGGGGCCTCCAGTGGTCAGAGTGTCCCCGCCGCCCCCAGCTCCGTGGGCACCTTTGCGCGAGCCCTGGATTGCAGCAGCTCCGTCCGGCAGCCCAGCCTGCACATGAGCGCCGCGGCCGCCTCCCGGGACATCACCTTGGTGAGTGGGCCACACGCTGGGCCATTGGCACAGGACCCTCACCTGCCCGGGGCCTGCCCCGTCCAGGGCACATGTGCCCCTCGGGTCGCCGCACGAGCCAGGGCAGGCGGGGACGGGATGGTGGCGAGGAAGCAGGTCGACGTCTGTTTGCTGGCTGCACGGGGCTGGGACGCGTCCGCCCCCTGCCCTCGGGAGAGCCCAGCAGGCTCGTCCCGGCAGCAAGCCCACCTGCACCCCCGCGGGCCCCCAGCTGCCTCCCGGACTGTCCGGGTGCTCTCGGGCGGGTGGGCCTGGGTGACCCCCGTGTGTCCTGCCGCAGTTCCACGCCATGGACACGCTGCACAAGAGCGTGTACGACGTCGCCAAGGCCATCTCGGCACTGGTGCCTCAGGGCGGGCCCGTGCTCTGCAGGGACGAGATGGAGGAGTGGTCGGCCTCCGAGGCCAGCCTTTTCGAGGAGGCCCTGGAGAAGTACGGGAAAGACTTCACAGACATCCAGCAGGACTTCGTGAGTGCCACAGGGCGGGCGCCAGACCCCTCCCCAGGGCCGCGTGCGTGGCGCCCCCGCGTCTGCTTGCGGCTCCCGGCAGGCCCCGGGCTGAGAGCTGCTCCTGCGGCCGGGGTCCTCCTGGCTTGCTGCGGTTGATTGGTTCTGTTTAAGCCACCGAGTCTCTCCTTACACGTCCTCGTTTTGTGTGCCCCGTGAGCCCTTGGGATTTGCAGCTCAGGCAGGGCCCTCGCGCACCCCTCCCGCCCTTGTGCTCAGCCACACGAGCGCTCAGCTGAGGGGAGCGCCGCCGCCTCCACAGCGAACCCCGCGGGGAGCGCGTCTGTCAGGTGGCAGGGCCGCCAGGAGCCCCCGGCGGGCCGGGACACGGCGGGCCAGCGTCTGATAAGGAGCGTCACAGGTCACAGGTCACAGGTCACAGGCGGGATCCTGATAAGTCTCCAGAAGGCAGAAGGGGCCCGCCAAAGGTAGAGAGGACCGCGGAGGGCAGAGCAGGGAGCCCCTGTCCTCGCTCGCCCCGAGTCTGAGGTGGGAGTCACTTGCTGACGTCCCAGACACAGTGAGCCAGACCTTTCCAAAAAAGAGCGACGGCCAGAAGATGGGGCCGCAGGTAACACTTGGCCAGACACACATGGTGGCCGCGGGGCGGGGACCCCACTGTGAGCATGCGGCCGCCTCGGCAGCAGGCCAGGTGGACCGAGGGTAGACGGGGTCTGAATCCTGGACGCGATGAGGCAGGCTTGGGGCTTCCGTCCACACCACAGATGCCTCCTCCGTGTTCAGAGGACACTGGTTCCGTAGGCGGAGCAGGAAGGGCTGGGGGGCCGGGGAGAGCGGCGTGACGGGGACCTTGCCGACCTCAGGCAGGGCTCCGCTGGGTGGGGCCGGAGGGGCTGTTGGGCGCTGCTGCCGCAGGGGAGGGCTCCTTGCTCGGGGAGGCCCCCCACGACGCGCGGCCCCTCTTGTGCAGCTGCCCTGGAAGTCCCTCACCAGCATCATCGAGTACTACTACATGTGGAAGACCACCGACAGATACGTGCAGCAGGTGAGCGCCCAGCTGCGCCCCTGTGCCCGGCGGGCAGCCCTTCCCCCGCCCGGGCCCTTGACCTCTGTTTCCCGTTTGCAGAAACGCTTGAAAGCAGCCGAAGCGGAGAGCAAGTTAAAGCAAGTGTATATCCCCAACTAGTAAGTGTGGCCCCGGCGTGCGCCCCCGGCGTGTGCTCGCCGCCCCGGGGACGGCGGGCTGGGCGGGTGGGGAGCGGCCCCCGGCTAGTTACAGGTGTCAGGACTGAAGCCCGCGCGAGCCGGCCCGCGCTTCCACGCTGGGCCGGGCACAGCTCTGCCAGCCAGAGCTGGGGTGTAGACCGGGCTCGAAGTTCGCCGCAGCGGCGTCCAGGCCTGCAGGGGAGGCCGGCCCCCCCGGCCCGCGTGGGTGGCGGCTGCTGGTGCCCAACGGCCTCACCTCCCTGGGAGCTGCACACCAGCGGCGTGGCCCTCCCGTGACGCCCTCCCTCTCTCCCTTACCCGAAGTAACAAGCCAAATCCGAACCAGATCAGCGTCAATAACGTCAAGGCAGGCGTGGTGAATGGCGCGGGGGCGCCAGGCCAGAGCCCTGGGGCCGGCCGAGCCTGCGAGAGCTGTTACAGTAAGTGCCCGCCGCCCGGCATCGGGCCCCCGCAGCGCTGGGCGCCCTGCACCATCCCGGGGTCCTGGCGGGCGGGGGCCACTCCCTCCCCGGGAAGCCCTCCTGGCGGGTCTGCGGGGTGCCTGGGTCCGCGGCGGGGCGGCTCGGCGGGCGGGCGGGCGACACTGTGTAATGCTCTCTGCCGTCACTGGTTCTGCTTAAGGACCCGTCTATTTCCAACTTTGTTGTCCGTAGCCGCCCAGTCTTACCAGTGGTATTCTTGGGGTCCCCCTAACATGCAGTGTCGCCTCTGCGCATCTTGCTGGACATATTGGAAGAAATATGGTGGCTTGAAAATGCCAACCCGGTTAGATGGAGAGAGGCCAGGACCAAACCGCAGTAACATGGTAAGTGGGCACCCCTCCCCGCCCCCACGCGTGGCCGGGTGCCCGGCCCACGGTCATGGCGCTGTGTTGGGGCGGCGCGCCCCCTTCCGCAGAGCCCCCACGGCATCCCAGCCCGGAGCAGCGGGAGCCCCAAGTTCGCCATGAAGACGAGACAGGCCTTCTACCTGCACACCACCAAGCTCACGCGCATCGCCCGGCGCCTCTGCCGAGAGATCCTCCGCCCGGGGCACGCCGCCCGCCACCCCTACATGCCTATCAACAGCGCGGCCATCAAGGCCGAGTGTGAGTGTCGTTCCCGCCGGCCCGGGCTCGGTCGCTGCGGGAGGGGCTCCCCGGCGGCGGGGGGCGGGGGACACCGGGAGTCCTGGCCCCGGGCTCCCCTCACGTGTGCGGCCCCCACAGGCACGGCCCGGCTGCCCGAAGCCTCCCAGAGCCCCCTGGTGCTGAAGCAGGCCGTGCGGAAGCCCCTGGAAGCCGTGCTCCGGTATCTCGGTGAGCCCGCCCCAGCCCAGCACCGTGGGGCCGATGTGTGCGCAGGCGCCCGCGAGGGAGGGAGCCACCCCCAGGCTGCCGCTGCCCAGGCCCCTGGCCTGCCTCTGTGGTGCCTTGCTCTGCGCCAGGCTGGAGGGGCCGTTGGGGCCTGAGCTGCCGTGGTCCCTGTCCCCCCACCCCCCATCCTGCTGCAGCCCATGGGGGGGTGGGGGGGCCCAGGATTTGGGTTGGGTGCACCCAGGACGGGCATCCACTGCAAGGCACCGGCGGGACGGTTCTGCACCCCCAGCCCCAAAGGAAGGTCTGTTGCTGCGTGAGCGGCCATACGCCTGGTCAGCAGCTCGCGGGGCTGGGGCTGAAGGGGGCGCTCGGCCAGCACCCCTTGGCTCAGCCAGCCATCGGCAGCTAGGGCAGGGGGGAGCAGGGCTGGCCACTTGGCTGGGCTCAGGGCAGGATCCTGAGCCAGTCCCTCCCGGCATGGAGGTGGCTGACCTTCTGTGAAGGACATTCCAGAACCATGAGCTAAGTGTGTTCCGTGTGGACGCAAGTGGATTTGGCGTCATCGGATGTCTAGGGTCTGGATCGTGGGGCTGGGCCTTGCCCCATCCAGAGAGCCACCAGGGGCTGGGGAGCCTTGGCAGGTCCAGGCCTGAGCCTGCCGTGGCCCAGCCCTTCGTGGGCCGTGTCCTTGGCTGGGCCGGCCTGGCTGTTAATTCATTGTCTGGCCGGCAGCCAGCCCCCTGCCGTCAACTCTGGTGGCCCGGACCTGGACACCTCTGACGGGCCTGCTTGTTTATGGGGCTGTGTCTGGCGGGCGCCCAGCTGCCTGTGGGGCCCGGCCCTGCGTGGCTCTTCCCTGCTCCCAGGACACCCTGAGGTGCAGGACTGGTGGTGTGTTCTGCCCCAGTGGGCCCCGTGGTCGTCCTCCGTCACAGTGGGGCCTGGGGGACGGCTGTTGCCACTTGCGTCCCACAAAGCGTGCCCCCCCGTGCTGCTCCCAACAGAGACCCATCCCCGCCCCCCCAAGCCCGACCCCGTGAAGAGCGTGTCTGGCGTGCTCGGTGGCCTGACCCCTGCCAAGTCGGCCCCCGTCATCAACAACGGCTCCCCCACCATCCTGGGCAAGAGGAGCTACGAGCAGCACAATGGGGTGGACGGTGAGTCTCTGCTGGGGCGGCCAGGTGGGGCCTCCACGCCCGGCTGGTGCGGCCTGCTGGCCCGGGGTGCCCGGCCCCGCCCCTGCCTCGCCACGCCTGCTGACCGTGTTCTCTCTCCTCTCTCTCCCGCCGCCGGGCGCTGGCAGGCAACATGAAGAAGCGCCTCTTGATGCCCAGTAGGGGTAAGGCCTGGGCGGCCGCTGGTGAGGCTGCCGTGCGAGCCCCTGTGCGTGCTGTGTGCTTTGTGCATGGTGCACGGCGGGCGGCCCAGGGCACGCCCAAGGGGCAGTCCACGCGGGCCGGGCCGCACCCCGCTCCCCACGCGCCCCCATTCCCGTGTCACCGGGCAGAGGGCCAGGGCTGCCTCACAGGCCCCCAAATGCTGTGTCCCCCCCCCCGGGGCCTCCGGCTCACGGGCTGTCCCCTCCTCCCCGGCCCAGTGCCCCGTCAGTGGACTGTCCTCGCTCGGGTAGCCCTGGCGCCCCCGCCTGCCTGTACTCTCCGTCACCACGCTGTGACCGCCCGCATGCCGTCAGCCTCCGCTCCCGGGGCCGCCGTGCTGTGCCTGCGGCCCTCCTGTGCGCCCTGCCCGGTGGGGGGGCTTCGGGACCCTGGCCTCTCGGGGCGGGGGGGGTGGCAGATAGGACCGAGCGGTGGGCGTGGTCAGCACAGCCCGGGGAGGCATTCGAGGCCCAGGTGAATGTCCAGGCCTTGGCCCTGCAGGGTTGGGGTCCCAGGGGAAGGGCCTGAGGCTGGCCGAGGGGGCACGGGAAGCGGGTGGGACCCTGCCACCGTCAAGCGCCCAGGCTGTCAGCGCGTCCAGAGCGGGACTCTTGATTGTCCAGGCCCGTCTACAGATGGCCCCCCGCCGTGGATGCGAGGGGCGTCCGTGGGCTCTGAGGCTGCTCCAGAATGAGGTGCTGAGGGAGGGGTGGCCGTGGTGGCAGTGAGGGGCCTGTGGGGTCAGCCTGCGGCAGGATCCACGCAGAAGGGAGGCGGAGGGGAAGCAGGCCGGAGGGAAGGAAGGGGGAAACGCACTCAGAGCCCCTGGTGATGGGAGGCTCGGGGTCGTGTGTGGGCACTCCGACGCCATGGGCCAGCGAGCATGGGTGTGCCCAGAGTCCCCTGCCCCCAAGGCAGTGGGCCAGGCCCAGGGACCTGCGAGATGGCAGCGGGCAGCGGCCATCCAGCCTGGCCCTGCCCCTGGACGCTGCCCCGGGCCCCGCCCACCCTTTTGGCGGCCGCCCCCACAGCCCTCCGGCCGGGGCCTGCCACCGGGCCCTGTGTCAGCACCAGGGCCTGGCCCGCTCGCCTGCCCTCTGCTGCAGACGCCCCAGGAACCACCGGGTCACGTCCCACGGAAGTGGAAGCCGGTGGTAGTCAGCGGCCGTCTCTGGGCTTGGGCCTTGTTTTGTAAAAAGCCAGTAGCCAGTGTGGTAGATGAGGTTAATTTACTTGTGTTCTTCGGTTCACCAAATCGGTACGCTTCTGTGTCTACTTGAGCCCAGCATGCGGGCCCCAAGGGCGTCGTTGGTGGGCGCACCCCCAGGAGCGCTGCAGAGGCCACAGCTGGCCCCCTGAGACAGCACAGGGCCGCCTGGGGCAGTGCCAGACTGCGGGGCACCCTGGGGGCCTTAACCCACTAACCCAGCCCAGCCAGGCACGTCCGCTCCGCACCCACCTTCCTCGGCCCATGGCCGTGCACGTGCTAACCAACACTAACCGTGTGTTTTCTCTCCTCTGCACCCGTCGCTCTGATAGGCACTTACCTGGGTAAGTAGCACTGGGCCCGGGGGCTGCAGGCCAGGTGCGGCAGCCCCTCCCTTCGCCCTGCCCAGGGGCCCCCCCCAGCCAGCAGGTGGTTTCCGGGGGCGCTGGATAGCTGCTCAAGAGTCAGCCCTCGGCCAAGAAGCGTATTTGGGAAGAGCTAGTTCTGGAAGGCCTCTGGCAGGACAGGCTCGCACGCTCACACACGGGCGTTTTCCTGTGCGCGTGTGCGCTCTGCTGCGGGCGGGGCCGGGGGGGCAGTGACGGCCCTGGGCTCACCTGGCTGGGTTCTGGGGGCTTGTGGACCACGACCTGGGACGGTGCCCTCTCAGTCGGAGGCTCTGGCAGAGGCCTGCGGCTGCAGACCCCCAGCCCGTAGGGTGGCAGCGTCTGCCCTGGCCACTTCTAGAAGCTTCCATCCACTCCTCCAGGGCTGCTAGCCCGGGGGTCAGTGAGGGGTGCTTGGAGCCCCTTGGGAAGAAGCCCAGTGCGGCCTGGCCTCCCGGGGTCTGTGCAGTGCTGCCTGAGGAGGGGCCACCTCGCAGAGGGGGTTCTGGGAGCACGGTGTTTACCGCAGGGCTCGGCGTTGCTCGGCTGCCGTGTAAACCAGGCTCCATCTGTGTCAGCCCAGTCGGGCGGGTGGCCCGCGTGCCAGGGAGCGGGCTGTCGGACCCGAGGCTCCTGGCCTTCTGCGTCGAGCCCAAGACGGTGCCTCTCCTACTGGCCAGGGCAGAGGTGGTCCTCAGAGCCCCAGCAGCTGTGGGATCACCTGGGGGCTGCTTGGGCTGGGCCGGGGCCGGGGAAGGCCGAGGCACCTGTGTCCTCCAGGCGCCCCCTGGGTACGGGCTGTGGCTCCAGGTCTCCCGCTCTCTGGCTGCCGGGCCTCACGTTCCGTTCTTCCTCTTGTCAGGTTTGGCGAACCACGGACAGACCAGGCACATGGTAAGAGAGCGAGCTGTGACGAGGCGGGGCCTAGCAGGACCCCTACCCCTGCACGTGTGTGCACACGACGTTTGCTTGCACACAGCTCCCTTGGCAGTCTGGGAGGCGGCCCAGATGGCCAGGCCCATGTGCCTCCTGCTGGGTGTCGGGGGCAGCGTGCAGTCCCCGCGGTGTCCCCCTCACGCCTCCCCCTGCCGCAGGGACCAAGCCGAAACCTCCTGCTCAACGGGAAGTCCTACCCCACCAAAGTGCGCCTGATCCGGGGGGGCTCCCTGCCCCCCGTCAAGCGGCGGAGGATGAACTGGATCGACGCCCCCGATGATGTGTTTTACATGGCCACCGAGGAAACCAGGTGGGGGCCTCCCCGAGGCCGCGGGTGAGCAGGGGGGCAGCCGCCGCACCCTTGTCACGTGGGGGCGTCGCTCTGTCCACAGGAAGATCCGCAAGCTGCTATCGTCCTCGGAGACCAAGCGCGCCGCCCGCAGGCCCTACAAGCCCATTGCCCTGCGCCAGAGCCAGGCCCTGCCGCTGCGGCCGCCCCCGCCGGCCCCCGTCAACGACGAGCCCATCGTCATCGAGGACTAGGCGCCCCGCCGCCCCGCGAGGCCACCGCAACCACAG